CCCCCAGAACGTACTTGGCGACGCCCTCAGCCGGGTGCCCACTTCTCGCGAAGATCGTGACCCTGCCGATTCCGATCCCCTCTCCACATCTACCGATGGCTGCTATTCCATTGTGGAGGAGAATCAGAGGTTGGCTGAATGTTTGATGCATCATCCAGACGATGGTATGGAAGAATCTTTCTTGGAGCATCCTACATTCGACGGCGAAGGAAGAAATCTTTCAATTTCTCGGTTCTCGCCGAGTACAAGCGGACAGTGCAGTTTTGCAACAGACCGTGGTTGACAACCCGGAACGGTTTTTCAAAAAGATGTTTGGAAACAGTGAGCTGATATGCTTTCGTCAGAATGACGAGGACAAGATTGTCCTAAAAAAAGAGTTGCTTCCCAAGTTGGTCAGCTTCTATCACAAATCCATGCACATGTCGAAGGCATGGATCGTTTAGAACAAACGATCAAGACACACTTCTACCACAGAGGTATTGCGACGAAGTCCGAAAACAAATTGAGAGTGCGAAGCATGTGCAAAGAACAAGCGAGCACGACGTGCTTATGGAGAATCTGCTCCCCGTGATGCTACGGCGATGCCCTGGCAAGAAGTCCATTGTGACACAATCGGTCCGTGGACGATTGAGTTACGACAACGGACATTGACTTTCAATGCTATGACGATGGTGGATCCTTGCACAAACTTGTTAGAGATTGTGCCTATTATGCGACGAACGTCGGAAGAAGGTGCTCGAGTGGTCGAAGATACATGGTTTGCTCGGTATCCCCGACCTAAGAAAGTGGTCACGGACAATGGTCCTGAGTTCAAACTGTAGTTCATTGAGATGGTTAAAAAGAATGGTGCTGTGCATCGCTACTCGACCCCTCGTAATCCACAAGGTAACTCGATGATTGAACGAACTCATCAGGCAATTGGTCAAGTATTGCGTACTATTGTGGTTTCGCGCGATCCCAAGAGTGTTGCTGATGGGATCATGGTTATTTCCGAAACCTTGGCGACAGCGATGCATGCTCATCGTTGTTCCGTGCAGAGTACGAACGCGTATCTCACTCCTGGTGCTCTTGCCTTCAAACGAGATATGTTTCTTGACATTCCTATTTATGCAGACATCTTGGCCGTGCAACGACACCGTCAATCCTTGGTTGACAAACGTTTGCTACGGGCCAATGCTACACGCATTTCCTATGACTACGCAGTCGATGACCTGGTCTACAAGCGTGCGTATCTCGGTCTCAGTGATAAGTTGAAGCCTACGGCTTCCGGTCCCTATCGTGTTTCCCGCGTTCATACCAACGGCAACGTAACGATTCAACTCAGTGCTCATCAGTTTGAGCGCCTGAACATTCGGCGCGTGTTTCCAAAGCATCCAGTACCTCCGGTTGCCACCGGTACGGGTTATTGAGGTTCCCCTGATTCATTTTCTAAATGTTACTGATGCTCGGCGCCTATTGTTGCCTCACAGTGGAGGAGAGTGACATACGCACGTCTATGACGTGGCGCTTTAACGCTAGTTTTAAGTCTAATCTCACAATATTCCGATCGTAGTTCAACAGCTGAGATGTAAGATGTACATCCACGACGCAGTACTGGTGGCGAATTTGCACCTCTCTTAATAGACGGAATGCTTGGGTACGGTATCAGACATAATGTGCGGCAGAGCCCCAGCATGCTGCTCTTCTAGCTAGTAGCGGTAGGCCTTGACTACCCGTACGTCGTAACAGGATTCTCAGAATTCATTAGGAGCTCATTGGGTGAGGAGGAGCTGGCGGGTGGCGAGTGGTGAGGTCAGAATTGAAGAAGGACATTGAGAGACGGACAGGGACTGAGGGACCGACTTGCTTCTCTGTTGCAGTACGGTAGTCTAGCTAGCTAGCTGTTGCGATGGCAGCGGGAAGCAGGCATGGTGGGATCCAGAGTTCCAAGACCATAAATCACAACAACACTGACCAACATGGCCTTTACAGCCTTCACGTGCATTCGGCAACCAGCCATTCTTTGGGTTCGCACCATCCACTGTGCAGCATCTTGCCCATATGTCTCTCGTTTGCCACTGAAGCTACTGGTCAACCCACACTGCACAGCCACATTATTACTTCCGAATAACTTCTAACATCCAAAAAGCCGATCGAACCAAAAAAACAGCCAACAACCCTTCTCTTCTAGCCAATCGCATAATTTTCTCATCCTTTCAACTCTCAGCCCAACCATGCAAAAAGAAGACACGAAGAAAGCAACCAAGGAAGCAACCAAGGAAGCAACCAAGGAAGCAACCAAGGAAGGCAACACGTTGCGTTGCTGGGAAGAAGTGGTATCAAAGGCTGAAGAAGAACCTTTGGGAGCCATTCAGAATGAATCGGAAATTGCCCTCCATTCGATCGCACCGCTTCCCCCTCCTCTAACCAGGGGTATCTCCCCATCAGCCAGACCCTGCAATTCCAGAGAGCTACCTCCCGGTGCGTACCTCACAAATTCTACAAGCACGGTACTGACTCATGCTGGAAAGACTCCGCTACATGTCTTGGGAGCTGAGCTCCGATTGGCCAACAAGCCAGGCCTCACCGTCCACCATGCCAGCCAAGGCCGCCGCCAAACTTCCGAGCCCACCTCTGAAACAACAACAAGACTCAGTGATGAGATCCCGTCCAACCATGTGGGCCTCTCTGTGGCCAATCCAGTGGATGAACCCACTGAACGGGAGATGGATCTACAGCAGGCAGAAGAGTATGACCCAGAAGCACACAAGACCATTGATTCGTCGTCTGTCTGCTCCAAGGAGGGGCAATTGCCAGTGCAGCCGTGGTTAGCATGTGTGATTGTTGTGGCGCTGATTGCGGCAATCACTTTGATTGTCGTCTTTGTACATCCTGACAAAAACATTGAGAGCCCATCATCCCAACTGATGGATCCCCTCGACGACGATGGTCTTGCCCTTCCTGAAGAGATTCCACTGGAGGATCACGTCTTGAGTCTTCTTCCAAGCAGCACCACACGTCAAATTCAGATGTACCAGGACTCTCCACAAGCCAATGCCTACCATTGGGTACTGGAGGACCCTCTTCTACCCCAGTACGAAGATTATCGTATCCAGCAACGGTTTGCCCTTGCAACTCTGTACTTTGCCACTGATGGAGATCTTTGGACCAACAATGACAATTGGCTGGATCAATCATGCCATGAATGCAACTGGTACATGATGCCATCCTTTTCTTTGAAGGATATGCTCCGTCACGTTTATCTTGGGTATCTTGATGAAATGGAACCCCCAGCAACAGTCTGCAATGAGGATGGACAGCTGGAGCATTTATGGTTGGACCAAAACAACCTGGTTGGTTCCATCCCACCAGAGCTTTACATGATGACGCATCTCAAGACACTATCTCACGCCATGAACCCTCTACATGGGACCATTGCCACTGAAATTGGGAAGTTGGCAGAACTGGAGGGCTACGGTGTTGCCTTCCAGCAGAATGGTGGAGTCATTCCCTCAGAGATTGGTCTATTGACAAACATGAGGGCACTGATTCTCAATGACAACAACCACCAGGGATCAATCCCAAGTGAATTGTGGCAGCTGACCAATATTGAATCCTTGTTCCTCGTACGCAACCACGACCTCAGAGGTACTCTCCCCTCTGTACTTGGCACCTTTCCCAAGCTCAGGTGGATCATGTTTGAGGATATTGATCTTACCGGTAAGTCGACTAGAAAGCACTGATGTGCTGGGATGCTTGAATAGAGGGTGATTGACATGACATGACTCACTAATGAACTCCCTTGCTCTTCTTTGGGTGATAGGCACCATCCCTTCTGAGCTGGGCCTGAGTGAGTCATTGGAAATGTTTGCGGTGGGCGGCAACAGATTGACAGGGACACTTCCAACCGAGCTAGTCAGGCCTCCCAAACTGTCGTTGATCTCTATCTACAAAAACCAGCTAGAGGGAGCACTGCCCACAGAGTTGGGTCTTCTCACTGCTTCGACACTTCTGTCTTTTCGTGACAATCTATTTACCGGAACCATCCCATCCGAGCTTGGGCTATTGACCACCTTGTCACGAACCTTGAACTTGCAAGAGAACCAGTTGTCCGGGTCCATCCCTACCGAGCTCTCCAATCTTGGTTCTCTCTTTGAACTCACTTTGTTTGATAACCACTTTTCCGGAAATATTCCTAGTGAGTTTGGACTCCTATCCTCCATGGGCCGACTCGACCTTGGAAGTAACTCCCTCAGCGGGACTCTACCAGATGAAATTTCCAGCCTCCAACAATCTCTGTATACCCTCAATGTGGCAGGCAATGAGCTCTTGTCTGGAACAATTCCAGATGAACTTTGTAGCCTCAATGGTCCTTGCTTTCCCAACCCCATTGTGCCATGCATAGGAAGCGGTGGACTCCAGTTTGACTGCTCCAGCCGGTTATGTGGATGTGGTTGCACTGCTTGTAATGCCAACTCTGGCAACACGACGCTAGTCATAATACCTGAGCACTAACACTGTAACAGTAATATGATATTATTATGATATCCAAGTCAGTTCTGCTGTTCTTCTGTAAAAGTGGGGGATAAACTCTCTAACTCCTTGCTGCTGCAGAGATCCCTTTGTAGGAGCAAGCTTGCTACCGGTACTAGCAAGCTAGTAGCTAGAGAACACAGTTCAAATTAATAACAGGCTGGTGCTCGAGCCACTACAGGTACCGGTAGGTAGAGCTGGACTGGAGGTTTGCTTGGTTACTGGGTGGTGAACTGCGGTGTGGGCTTTTGCCGCAGCCCAGCTACAAGGTACATGTTCCTAGACGATGTACTAGTACTGTAAACCCCCAAATGCCTGCCACTGGCCAGAAGACTCACGACCTTTTTACTCCAAGTACTGAGTAGCTTTTTAGCTTTTTAGCTTTTTAGGTCTGCAACTGGAACATGAAGAACGAGAAGCGACGCTGCTCCTGAATTTTTTGAATAAGGCTTTTCCATTCCGAGACGGTGCCAGCAACAGAAACGAAGAACAGTAAGTACTGGTAGAGTACTCGTTGCTAAGCTAATAATTAGTGGAGGCGTGACCCCCATTTGACCATCCACCTCCGAAAGGCTCCTCTGAAGTCCGAAGTCCGAAACGCCATGCCGGGCGCCATACCAAGGGCGCCATACCAAGGGCGGGCGCCATACAGTACCGAGTAGAAGCGAGTCTTTCAGCCACATTAAAAAGCTTGTCATAATCTCTTGTACTAGCCAGGTGTCAAAGCAGCCACTCCAACATGAACGAGGCAATGGAAAAGGAGAGGAGGGACGATGCGAAAGGCGGTTCATCCTCAAAGGAAGAGCTAACTGTACAGGTAGCACAGACACAACTGAACTTGAACAATCATGAAGTAATTTTGCCAATCACAATGGCTTTCGATATCTTGCAATCGATTCAGCCACTTTCTTTCTGAAGCAGGAAGAGCAGCAACAGAGCTTGGCCCTGGTGCATATTTTACAGATGCTGCCAATACCAGAGTAACACCAGTTGGAAAAACTCCACTAAATGTCTTGGGAGCCGAGCTTCGAATGGCCAACAAACCAGGTCTAACCATCCATGGCGACAGCCACGACAACAGTCGGGATGAACAACAGCAGTCGGATGCCACCAATGATTCGTCTTTCGTTCAAGAAGGCCCATCCCACGATTTACTAGTGGCCAATCCGATCAACGAGCAAGACGAAACTACCGCAAAATTGGGTCTCCCCCAAGCCAAAGAATATGATCCCGAAGCCTCGGGACCACACCGCAGCCATGGTCATTCCAAAGATGAGCATACTGCCAACAAAACCTGGATCGTCTGGGCAGTCGGTATCATCTTGGTTGCAGCCATTACAATGATCTTGGTCTTCACATTGGCAGATGGATCCAACAGCAAAGGCTCCGTTGCTGCTCAAAACGATAGAAATACCCCACCAGTTTCTACGAATGGGACCGGCACACCACCAGCTCCCCAGACTCTCGAGGATCACATCCTCTCTCTGCTGCCAGACAACACACAGTTGAGCCAAGCTACTTCTCCTCAGTATCGTGCCTACAATTGGATTCTGGAAGATTCCTCAAATGCACAATACGCGGACTGGCGAATCCAGCAAAGGTATGCACTTGCCACGCTCTATTTTTCCACGGAGGGTGACAGTTGGACGGAAAATGGCAGCTGGCTGAGCTATATTGTTCATGAATGTGACTGGTATGGAAAGCATTCCTTTGCCTTGAAGGAAACCCTGGTCCACATATATGACGGATACCTGGAGGACTTGTTTCCTCCCACAGAGCCTCCACCCACAACCTGCCACGAGGATGGATCCTATCAGCATTTGTGGCTTGATCAGAACAATCTCATGGGTTCACTGCCACAAGAGCTGTACATGCTGACATCTCTGAAAGACTTTGTCCACTGGTGGACCAGTTTGCGGGGACAATTGACACCGAGATTGGACAGCTCTCTCAACTCGAAGGATTGGCCATTTTGAATCAACAAAATGCAGGAACAATTCCGTCCGAGATTGGACTACTCACCCACCTGCAAGTTTTGTCTTTGCATGACAATAATCATGAGGGATCGATTCCATCAGAGATTTGGCAGCTGACCCAACTGGAATTCTTCGTCCCATCTCGAAACCTTGCCCTCAAGGGCACAATTTCTACAGAAATTGGAACGCTTTCCAAGCTCAAATGGTTTGTTATGGAAGAATGTGGACTGACAGGTACGGTAGGATTGTTGTGGGACACTGGTGCTGCCGGTCTATTGGTTTGCTTCTTACATCAGGCCCGTTTGGTTTTGTCATTTTCAAAGGAACACTTCCGACCGAACTTGGCCAAATAGAGACTCTTGAATGGCTAGTCCTTCCTGGCAACCACCTATCTGGCACGATACCAAATGAGCTAGCCTTGATTCCAAATATGCTCTTGATTTCCTTGTATCGAAACCTGCTGGAGGGGACACTGCCTACAGAGCTTGGATTATTAACATCATCCACATTGTTATTGTCCTTTCGTGGGAATCTTCTAACTGGCACAATCCCAACAGAGCTGGGCGTTTTGACAGCCTTGACATTGGGCATGAACTTTGAATCCAACCACTTCTCGGGAACACTCCCTACTCAGCTCTCCAACATTCGATCCGTGTATGAGCTGTCCTTTCTTGACAACAACTTGACAGGCAGCATACCCAGTGAATTTGGGCTCCTCGCTTCAGTGGGGCGCCTGAATCTTGGCAGTAATTTGCTTACTGGAACCATCCCCCATGAGCTGTCTGCTCTACGGCAATCTTTGTATGTGCTGACTTTGTCTGGCAACGAGCTATTGTCAGGGACAATCCCAGAGTCCTTGTGCAACATCAATGGCACTTGTCAGGGGAACAGTTTTTCCGCCTGTGTCCATGTTGAGGGTCTGCATTTTGACTGCTCTGGTGCACTGTGTGGTTGTGGCTGCTCTTGTGAAATGTAGCACGACTCCCGGAAAGCTACATAACTTTGATTGCTATAGAAGTGTCATACAACAACTGGAGCTAAAATCTTAGCAGAACAAAAGTACATAACAGGTTTATTCAACCTTCACCGGTAACTTCGTCACCACAGAGAATTAAGCAGTGTCCTTCTTCTCTAGGCTGCATCAGTACCAGTATCCTGATCCTGGGAGGGTTTGGTGTAGTTGCATGAGGGTGTCAGACAACATGACCACGCTGATATGGTTGTAGTGACTCGTCACACAGAGGAGGCGTCATTTCCATAAATGGACCATGCAGATTCTGCCCTTGTACTCACACTGGAAGTTCATTGTGCCGTCCGTGTGAAGGGGTTACATGGTGGGAGTCCGAGTCGTCATCATTGTGGGAAGCTCCATCATTGACTTGCATGGAAGCCAAAAGTTAGTTGTTTCCGGCCCATAGCAAATATCTATTCACCGGCGAGACCATGATGTTACGGGCTTATTTACGTCCCCGGTGTTCCTTGGGGCCGTCTGCAGGCTCCAGCAGCCTCGGTGTAGTCTATCAGGTACAGTACTCAAACTCTGACTTCGGGACTTTGCTCGCTCTTACTCCGAGTAGACTCTACAGTACGAGTAGTTGCCTTGCCATAGAAACTCTGTAGGACATAGAGCCCTCCGCTATTGTGCAGCTACTACGGTATCTGAGCGTAAATAGCCAGCAAGCAAGCTATGAAACCCACTGCGAATGTACTAGTATAATTAGCTAGCTACATGTAGTAGGGCAAATATTATGTTCTCGTAACCATAGTTCATAGCTCCCTTGAGCGTTCCTCGATCGTGAATGGGCGCCTTTTACCAGTTTGGCAGGATCAAGGGCAGTTCTAAAGGTCCGACCGTCCCCACTAATCCTCACATGCACGATTGCGACCAGCTCAGCTCGCAACTGAGAACTGAGACTGGAGTCCCCCACCACAGTAGCTGTCACGCTCTACTGTAGATCAGCTTGTAGATCGAAGAAGCAATCAGGCTCTAAGTACAAACTGTACATGTCAAGCAGTGGAGGGTGGAGGGTCATAACATTGACTTCGTTTCTTTGGATATGACCTTCCAAAAATAAAAGACTTAAAGGTTGTGTGCCTTCTCTGTTACACTGGAAGAATTCAAAAGGTCATGTGGCTTCTTGTTTCTTCCAATCCAACATCCAGCAGCTCAAGCACAGGGTGGTTGTAATAGTACCAACACCAAAAATTCGTTTCTCACCGAACACCCAACCAAACAATCCTTTTGAGAAAAAGCAGCCTTCCGCAGCCACAGCGCTGTCATAGCATAAATCACAAAGCTCTCATACTCTCTTCTCTTGGCTTCTTGTTAAAACAGCCACTCCAATTAACATGAATGAGGCAATGGAAAAGGATAGGAGGGACGATGCAAAAGATGGTTCGCCCCCAAAGGAAGCATTGACAGTAGTGGAACAGATACGAGAAAGCTTACAATTGAACGACCATGAAGTAATGCCAATCGCACTGGCTGTCGATATCGAGTCCATGCAGCCACTTCCCTCTGAAACAGGAATAGCAGAAAGAGAGCTACCTCCTGGTGCGTATTTTACAGATGCTACCAATACAGTACTCACTCCTGCTGGAAAGACACCACTAAATGTCTTGGGAGCGGAACTCCGAATGGCCAACAAACCAGGCCTGACCATCCACGACGAGAGCCACAATGACAATCCTGATGCCACCCAGCCGTCGGATGCCACAATGACCAATGATTCATCCTGCGGTCAAGAAGGACCGTCCCACTCGAGGTCGGCCGATTTACTCGTGGCCAACCTAGTCAATGCCGAGGAAGAGGAACAGACCAGAAACTTGCCCCATGCGGAAGAATACGATCCAGAAGCACCACACGGCAGCCGTGCTCGTTCCAAAGACAATAACCTTATTGCCAACAATCCCTGGATGGTTTGGGCAGTCGGTGTCGTCTTGGTCGCAGCCATTACCATCATCCTGGTCTTCACATTGGCAGATGGATCATCCAACAAGACTAGTTCCGTATATGCTCCAAACGCCACAGATTCCCCACGTCCTTCTACGAACTTCACGCTGACTCTGGAGGATCGCATTCTCTCACTCCTGCCAGATCACGCGCATTTGAGACAAGCTACTTCTCCTCAGTCCCGTGCCTTTAATTGGATTCTGGACGATCCCACAGTAGAAGAATACTCGAACTGGAGAATCCAACAGAGGTATGCACTTGCCACTGTCTACTTTTCCACTGGAGGTGAAACATGGGCTGAAAATGACTACTGGCTGAGCTATATTGTTCATGAGTGCAACTGGTATGGAAAGAAGTCCTTTGCCTTGAAGGAAAGTCTGGTCCATGTCTATGACGGATACCTGGAGGGGCTGTTTCCTTCCACGGATCCTCCACCCGCAACCTGCCACAAGGATGGATCTTATCAGCATTTGTGGCTCGATCAGAACAATCTTGTGGGGTCACTGCCACGAGAGTTGTACATGCTGACATCTCTCAAGACTTTATCCACTGGTTTGAACCAGCTTTTCGGGACCATTGCTACCGAGATTGGACAGCTCTCTCAACTGGAAGGATTGGCAGTTTTCTCTCATGAGAATGGGGGAACGATTCCGTCCGAGATTGAGTTACTTACCCATCTACAATTTGTGGGCCTGCATGACAACAATCATGAGGGATCGATTCCATCAGAGTTTTGGCAGCTGACCAAATTGGAAACTTTCATCTCATTTCAAAACCTCGGCCTCAAATTCACAATTCCTACAGAAATTGGAACATTTCCCAAGCTCAAATGGCTTGTTGTGGAAGATTGTGGACTGACAGGTACGACAGGATGCTTGTTGTGGGGCACCAGTGTTGTCTTTGGTTAGTTTGCTTCTTACGTCATGGCCTGTTTGCCTGTTTGGCCTGTTTGACTTTTCATTCTAAAGGAACACTTCCAACAGAACTTGGTCAAATAGATACTCTTGAATGGCTAGTAGTCCCTGGCAATCACCTGTCTGGCACCATACCGAATGAGCTAGCCTTGATTCCAAATCTCCTCATGATTACCTTGCATCGAAACCTGCTGGAGGGGACACTGCCTACAGAGCTGGGACTATTAACATCATCCAAATTATTGTCCTTTAGCAGCAATATACTAACTGGCACAATCCCAACGGAGTTGGGCCTCTCGGCATCCTTGACATTGGGCATGAGATTTGAATCCAACCACTTCTCAGGAACACTCCCTACTCAGCTCTCCAACATTCGCTCCATGTATGAGCTGTCCTTTCTTGACAACAACTTGACCGGCGGCATACCCAGTGAGTTTGGGCTCCTCACTTCTGTGGGGCATCTGAATCTAGGCAGTAATTTGCTTACTGGGACCATCCCACATGAGTTGTCACATCTACAGCAATCTTTGTATGAGCTGACTTTGTCTGGCAATGAGCTATTGTCAGGGACAATCCCACAGTCCTTGTGCAACATCAATGGCACTTGTCAGCTCAACAGGGTGGCTTCATGTGTCGCTGGCGAGGGTCTACATTTTGACTGCTCTGGTGCCCTGTGTGGTTGTGGCTGCTCTTGTGAAGCCTAGCAAGACTTTAGGATATCAGTTGGTTGGTTCTTGATTCTCGGGTTCAATTTCTGCATGTTGTTCGATCAGTTGAGCTATTTCCACTCTCCTCGCGCAGGAACTGGGTTGTAAAAGATCGGGCAAGTTGACACGGTAGAATTCATGGGTCGTCCCGCCTCTGGTTTCATCAAACCGTTGCAAGCAACGTAATCGCATTTATCTAACCACATAGTAAGCCGATCTAGGAATCCCATCTCCGTCGTCAAAGTGTTTGCGGTCGATAATCTAAATTTATGTTTCGTCCTCGAGCAATGCAAGGATTCGCTGGAGGCGCGTGGGGCCGTGCAGGGGGTTGCATTCGTTGCGACAGTGTGTGGGTAGCAACCCGTGGCAGGTACCTGGTACCACGGTATGCGCGTGCTAACTTGCTCTTGGTTGCCATACGTGTAAGCAGAGTCCCATGCAAGATTTTGAGGCCTGCCGTTCTACAGCAGAACCCTCAGGATGCTACAGGACCGTCCGACGGTTTTCGCTCAGGCTTTAAAAACTGCCACGACTGACTCAAAATCCTGGTTCGCGTTAAGAGGATGGAAGAGGATGTGAAGATTTAAGAGGATGTTTAAGAGGATGTTGAGTATTTAAGAGGATGTTGTTAAGAGGATGTTTATTTAAGAGGATGTTGATTCGTTATAAGAGGAAGTCCTATGGTGTTTCAATGAAGGCTTAAAAGGATGTTTCGAAGCTTTAAGAGGATGTTGTTAAGAGGATGTTTATTTAAGAGGATGTTGAAGGGGATGTTGAAGATTTAAGAGGGTGTTAAGAGGATGTTTAAGAGGATGTTGTCGGTCGTGCCAAATTCAACTTGTTTAAATCCTTATAGAAAACCGTCGGACGGTCCTGGACCGTCCGGCGGTTTTCGATCAGGCTTTAAAAACTGCCACAACTGAATTATAATTCTGGTTCTCCTAAGGTGATGTTAAGGGGATGTGAAGATTTAAGGGGGTGTTTAAGGGGATGTTGAATGTTTAAGGGGATGTTGTTAAGGGGATGTTTATTTAAGGGGATGTTTGTGTGGGATAAGGGGATGTTGTATAGGGTTTCAATGAAGGATTAGGGGGTTGTTTCAAGGATATAAGGGGTTGTTGCTAAGGGGTTGTTTCTTTAAGGGTTTGTTTTTAAAAGGGGATGTTGAAAATTTAAGGGGATGTTAAGGGGTTGTTTAAGGGGTTGTTTTAAACGGCGCTCAGTCGTGGAAGTTTGAAGTTTTTTAAATCCTAAGTGAAAACCGTCGAACGGTCCAGAATGCAGTGACAACCCCAGAGAATACGACTACCACCAGAAAAAGGACACCGCAGGTGTAATAGATATACCGGGCGAGCTGAAATAAAAGATGAGCCGGTATGCTAATATTGTTAAAGTTTGGCTGAAGCTAGTGTCATTAGATTTTACCATCTGAGAAAGTGGTGTGGTAGCTTACGGGAGTATAGAGGTGTGCAACATGAGTCGTTAGATTTTACCGTCTGAGAAAGTGGCGTGGTAGCTTACGGGAGTATAGAGGTGTGCAACATGAGTCGTTAGATTTTACCGTCTGAGAAAGTGGCGTGGTAGCTACGGGAGTTTAGAGGTGTTCAACGTGAGTCGTTAGATTTTACCATCTGAGAAAGTGGATGTGGCTAGGCTTACGGGGGTATAGAGGTGTGCAATGTGAGTCGTTAGAGTTTACCGTCTGAGAAAGTGGTGTGGTAGCTTACGGGAGTTTAGAGGTGTGCAACGTGTTGAAAATATTAGGATCCCTTGCTACCGTATGATTTATTATGAGAATGCGTGAGAAGGAGGGGGTTGAAGTAAAACTCTAACCCTAAGGAGAGCCAACCAAACCCATGACCCACCACCACCACAATAAACGGGGTCAGAGATCACCAGGGTCTGCATGGTATATAACTGAGCTTTCACGGGTACCTCCCACCTCCCACAATAATACTCTAGTAGAGGTTTTGCAAAAATGGAACCTTCTGCAGCCCAAATGGATGATGAGGAAGAGTTGATGGCTATCGTGGCTGCCAGGAGCCGGGGGGACAACAGAGAGGCAGAGTTCACAAAGCTGGAAATATTTGAATTGGCGGTGCAACAGGCAGAAGATGAACAACCAAACAAAGAGGAAATGGTAAAGTCATTCCAGTCATTGCAGCAGCATCCCCCCACAGCAGGCGACAAGTCCACGGGAGAGGAAATGAACGAAGAATAAGAGGAAGATGATGTCTCTAAATTAAAGATAGTTCAAGACCGAATACAGAATTATCATCAAGTTACCACCAGCAAAACTCCATCAGCAGAAGCTGGTCTAGAGGACCATCCCAGCTCAACGGACGACAATCCTGCAGGAGAGGAAATCAGAAAGGAAGAAGCTAGTCTAGAGGGTGAGCTTGTTCTTCCTAAACGAATATTGCCTAGTGGGCAAAATCAGTCAGCTGAAGCTACCATGCATCCAGGAGCATATGCAGTGGCCCCCCAGAACACAATGAATCAGGGTGCTACAGATGACCAATCAGACAATCCACCACACCAACAGAGCACAATATTGGATTGGACCAATCCACCACTCCCACAGACAACAATAATGGATTGGCCGTTGCAAACCAGGTTGAAGAAAATGAAGAACATACACAGATTGCTAGGCTGGATCATTCGCATGGGAAAAACAGATCAACCACAATGACTCTCCTGATCTCTGTACTCATTGGCAGTCTTCTCATTGTTGGAGTGGTTATTGGTTCCGTCTGTCGAGCTGGTCTCTGCAGCAACAAAGAAGGTGATGTTGAGACTCAGGCTCCCACTTCCTTTCGGTATTTTGTTTTGGAGGAGGACATTCAGTACAGAATTGAAGAGGCTTTTGGGCCCCACTATTTCCCCGAAAATGATGAGCCAGAACCCACACAGCCAAAGTTGAAGGCTCTTAATTGGATTGTGTTTGAGAATCCTCTGCAGCTCAACCCAGATGCCAACAAGCTTCTACAGAGGTTCATTGTGGTATTGACTTACTTTCAAACATCCCGGGAGAGTGATTGGCTCGATTGTGGGCCATCGACCACTGGGAATGATGAAACGTGTTGGATTCAAATCGCCGATGTTGACTTGTTGGAAAATCAGTGGCTTACAGGTGCTCATGAGTGTCAATGGGGAGGATGTTTTTGTAGCGGAGAGAACATTACTCAGTTGTGGCTCAGTGAGTTCTTTTGTTTTGTTGTTGTTAGCAACAAGAAGAATCAAAATGCATGTTTCCTGTACTTATCCTTAGCTTGCTTTGATTATCAGGGAACAATGGATTGAATGGCCCTCTGCTCACAGAACTTGCAAGTCTTCCAGCACTGGATCGAATAGACCTTCAGGGGAACCAACTCACAGGCTCGGTTCCAAGCAAATATGGCAGCTTCCCTTCCCTTTCATACCTCGATCTTCGCAACAACCAACTGTCTGGAAATATTCCATTGGAATTGTTTGGAAACAACAAACTCTCCTACATACTTTTTAGAAACAATTCACTAACCGGGATACTGCCCACAGAAGTTGGACTCTTTGATGGGACTTGACTTGGATTTGGTTCAAACAGCTTGTCCGGTTCCCTTCCTACAGAGCTCTTTCAGGCTGGCAAAGGAAACTACCTCGATCTTTGGTTCGACGATAACTTGGTAGGTATCCTCTTACCAGGAACACAGCAGAAGGGATGGTTCGCGGGTGCACAACTCATATAAACTACTCTCACCTCTGTTCCTTGCTTGTAGCTTCTTACAGGAACTCTACCCACTGAAATTGGAGCATTGCATGGATTTAATATCCTCAAAGTCTTCCTGCAAGGGAACCCTTTGAGCGGAACCATCCCATTGGAAATAGGACTTCTGAAAGGCTCTATCACAGAACTTGATGTCAGTTGGACCAACATGGCACCCTACCAGAGGAACTCTTTACAGAATGTACCAACTTAGCTGGTTTTGGGTCTCCAACTGTGGCTTCACTGGCACCATAAGCAGTGGACTGTAGCTTTTGACAAGGCTAGAAATATTTGACATTTCCAATAACAAGTTCCATGGCACCATCCCAGCACAGCTTTCTGCTCTGACATCTCTACACCAGTTTATTGTGAATGGGAATGAACTTTCTGGCTCCATTCCATCGTCTGTCTGTGCTTTGGCTGTACCTACAAAGGATTACTTTGACGTGGCAGCTGCCTGTTTGCCAAGGGATGGCACAGGCAATCCCAATGTAGAATGCTCTTGTTGCACTCTGTGTTGTGACGGTGATGCTGCTGACTACTGTTTGCCCAAGGAAGGTTCAGTCCGGTGACAACCCTAGCTAGGATAAAGTGGCTCGGGCTTGTGTTGGAAACTGCAGCATGCAATGAGAGATACGCTATACCCCGCAAACTGTGCATGACCTCGGCTTTTTAGTAAGGGCCACCAAAAGCACCAACTCTGGTACAGTGCCTTGCATTACCAATGATACCGTACTAGCTAGCTCAGAATACATGTAGAAGCCAAAAAGTACAGTAACGCTGTTGCAATACACGGCTCTTAGCCTTATTCGCGACTCGATCCTAGATAGGGTTTGAGTTCGACTCATGACTGAGTCTTTCGTGAATAGTCATTGAGACAGGTTCTCAATGACCGCTCTAGTCATACTAGGTTGATGATGAAACATCGCTCTAGATATTTAGCCAGTGTGGAGTACTTCCCGCTACTAGATAAATGCTAGCGATCTTCCACGCGTTCCGTTTTGGATCGTGGAGTGGTAGGATTCTACCACAACTACTTATCACACTCTACAGTCTCCCGCGGGGTTCAGATCTACGATCCTTTGGTTGTGGATCTCTCTCGTTGATTAGTTTTCATAGCTTTCTAATCCTCTCATAACTTTCATTCTCTCAAACTCAAAACACTCGAAAGATCTTTACACTACTTTTAGCGTATTGCATTTTGTTAACAAACACAATAGCTTTCAGCTACCCTCAACCTATCCTCACACATGAAGATTGCCAAAGACGCATACACCAGCTTCGAGTCTAAGCTGCGCGACAAACCAATCCTTCTCTCATCGACCTCGACGATGAATGCGAAATCGACGATTCTCGCTCTACCACCTACAAACTTCGCACTGTTCCAGCAGATGCTAACAGCGCCAAGTACACCTTCAAGGTCCAAATCATCAATGGATCTGAGACTCCACGTCAGACACATCAAGTGGGCTGGACGTATGGAGAAGGTCTTCGTCGGGCTCGCCATTGCTACGCCTGATGACAAACATAACCTCCTCAAGGAGATGACTTCTAGCTCTGCCAAGAGCAGTTACGAATCTAGCTGTGCAGGCCACCGTGAAATACGTTGGAATGCCTTGTGCCAGATTGCAGTCAACGCGATTCCTCCACGCGACATACAGTCAGCCCTCGCTCTTATTTATAATCTCTTATTTATTCCCTCTATTATATTTATTAAATCTCGAGATCCCCCCCCAGTCATGAGTGACCGTGACTGCAGCAACAAATCTTTCGAGCAGCCCGACAACGTCGCACAATCCATTCCAACCGTTTCAATTTGACCGAGATGGCATGTAAAATGCCGATATAGATCCAATGGACGTGGGATTCCTCGCACCTCTGCGGTACCTCTGCACGCACCTCTCAGAGGCTGTCTCGTCGGTGCCAGCCCAAGCCCTGGTTGCTTCCGTGCATTTTTGGAAGGATGGTTTTGACCAGACAAAAACAATTCTTGTGAGCTGCCAAACAATTTCACGCAAACCATACCAAAGGCTCCAATCCGACCTAGACCAACATGAACGACGCCGATTGAATATGGCTAGGGCTGCTAAGGCAGGCAAGCGAAAGGGTGATAGCTCCCTTCATTTGTACTTTACTAGCAAATAAGGCCCTAGAAAACGCTTATATTTATGCCCTCCATTATATTTATCAAAGTCCAGGATACCCCCTCATAAATAAGAGTGCACTACGCTAAAAGCTAGTGTAAAGATCTTTCGAGTGTTTTGACGCTTATATTTATGCCCTCCATTATATTTATCAAAGTCCAGGATACCCCCTCATAAATAAGAGTGCACTACGCTAAAAGCTAGTGTAAAGATCTTTCGAGTGTTTTGAGTTTGAGAGAATGAAAGTTATGAGAGAGATTAGAAAGCTATGAAAACTAATCAACGAGAGAGATCATCATCAAAGGATCGTAGATCTGGCTTCCCGCGGGAGACTATAAAGTGTGATAGAGTAGGTTGTGGTAGTAATCCTACGTCTCTCCACGATCCTAACCTAGTATGACTAGCGCGGTCATTGAGAACCCTGTCTCAAATGACTATTCACGAGAGACTCAACTCAAACCCTATCTAGGATCGAGTCGCGAATAAGGCTAAGAGCGGCTCGCCCCCTGACAGGGTTCACGAAGGCGCGAAGCAGTCGTACATATAATGATTTTTTAAAAGTGCGGAGGGCACTTCTTCCACTGAGATTGTCGTTTGATGTGCGTTTCGGCACGATGAAGCCATTCCACAAGGGTTTTATTCAGGGCTTGTATATGAGCTGGTGGAGACATCCTTATGTTTGTTTCAAGTCCTCGGTGACTGTTGCGCTACGGCGGCGGTAGTATGTTGGATCCGTACAGTGCCATGTTTATTGACTCGGTCTGTGTTGGAAGGACCTACACCTGGACTGACCGTACTGTCTCGCC